AGACGCCAGCTCTATCACACGGGACGAAAAACCCAGAAAGATCAAGGCAAGGCAAAGAGAGCACAGAAAATCAAAAGTGACAGTGAACGATACCAGATCACAGCCAGTATTGTACAAAACAAGATATTTATTATTCAATTAAAATGAATATTATTCACTATTCATTTGTCATTTTCCTGATCTCGATATTTCAACATTCCGTTGAAGGACAAAGTAAGTAGAATATTCAATTGATTTTCGGGGGTTAAACGTACAGTGTTGAAGAATCTGCTAATTTTAAGTGTTAAAATGATGCGAACGGCTCGGCTTTAAAGGGATTGTTAAGAGGTCATCTAAGACATGTTATGTGTATTTGGGAACACTGATAGCTTCAATTTGCACCATTCCAATTAAACTAAGTGTTAGATGACCTTACTAATCGCGATGGCCTTAGGCGATGAGGCATATTTATTGGAGTCGCAGGAACCACAAACTTCTGATTGAAAATTGGAATGGGGCAAATTCATTCTCACATTGTCCCCGATACACTTAAGAAAATTAGAAACCGCATTACAATCGCTTTAAGGAATACATACTTCTTAATATGGTTGTATATCACATTTGTGACGGTTGTAATTCTTAGCTCAACGTTGAGTTAAGGTATTCAGGAATTACACAAATCTCACATACTTGACGAGAAAACAGAATTGACTGAAATACTCGAAAAACAACTTTTAAAAAATTGAAATGCCAGTGGAATTAATGATTAGTAGGTTCATTACTGATCTGTGTCCGTTTAGAGGATGTTTGAAATTATATTTTCTTTTCACAGGAAATGCAGGTTGTGTGAGACCACGGATAGAAAATGGACGTGCTAAAGTTCGAGCCAGAGGAAAAATGGTTTACTTTCGTTGTAGAAAGAAATTCACTAGAATCGGTCCCAAGTTTGCTGTTTGTTTACCTAACAGTGTATGGAGTCAGCCAGCGCCTATTTGTATAGGTATTGAAATCTCATAAAAACGTGTATTGCTGCGATACAATATTTCTTATGATTCGCCATAATAAAAATTTATTGCAAAAATCTGCCAATCAAATGAAATCGTTGAAACCTTGATGAATTATAGACCGTTTAAATTGCTACCGAAATTTTATGAAACGCGAATCAAAATTTTAATTGACGAGTCGAAATTGAAATGGCGCGAATAAGGCCTAATCAAGCTAGCATTTTAAACACCAGCTTCAGATTAAGTTCTGTTGTGATACAGGACATGTCTGCAGCATGATATTACGGAACACATTATTTAGAGTGCGCCTTGTAGAAGATGTAATGCATTTCAAGTTGCGATTTATATAACAAAAAGTATTCCTCTTTCAGGACGAGGTTGTCCAACTATAGTGCCAAAAGATGGTTTGCAGATTTCGGGAGAATATGATGGTGCCATGCTAAAATTTACTTGTCCTGCTGGAATGAAAAGGGAAGGACCCGAATCTATTCACTGTAATGGAAAGAAATGGAATGCTGATCAGCCGTCCTGTGTTGGTAATAATGGCTCAAGTTCGGTTTCCTTTCACTATATTTTATTTGCATGATCACGAACGATATACCCATTTAATGTCTGTTTATATTTACCAGATGCTATCAAAACTGATTTGAATATGGTGTGCTTTAACAGCATCTGTTATAAAAAATCACGATTTGAGGAACTTCCATGTTTGTTTCCGACCTTTAAGAAAATTTTCATTTGTGAGCAAAGTTACTGAAAAACATTGGTAGAAATAAAGGACACTAGATGGGTTACGTACTTGGAGCATGATAGCGAGCCTTGTACCTAAAACTAGGGGAGATATGATTTGAAATACGTTGACGTTTTACCACACATACACTCATCTTATGGAATCAGTTCATAAACTAAAGCACAAACTCGTCACTAGTAATAGCCCATAAAAGAGCATCACATGTGTGCATGGTGGGCGATGTTCATCCCATATTAATCTCTCTTCTGTTGAAGACTTGTGCTTAACAGCACAGCATGACATGTGTCTTCAGCGTCACAATAAATACGTCTTTTCAGTTTATGTCTGATGATATTAGATCTAATTGCATATGACTTATAAGGTTATCAAAAAAATCATTGGGGTTACTGTTCGACCTAAGAATAAATGCCTGGAACATTGATCGAGATACTTTAATTGGTGACTTCAATATACTCTAAACATACTCTACAGATTTTACCTCCATCTCTGAACCAGACCTTTTCGTGATCTACTTTCCATATGAAATCATTAACTGATCTCTTGTCAATAGAAAATAGAAATCTAATGTCTTTGTTTACAGTCGGTATAAGTCTACAGTGTGATTTTGAACAAGAGGAGTTATGTGGTTGGAGTCAGTCAGATGATGATGATTTTGAATGGACCTGGTTATCTGGTAAAACACCAACTGTCAATACCGGACCCTTACGTGACCATACACATGCTTCCAATTCTACAGGTTTGTTACAATAAAATTTATGCTTTGCGAGTGAAGTTGTGTTGGACAACGTTTTTATGGCATTTAGCAAGGTATCGAAAACGACCAACTTAATCTGCGCGATATGCTTACTCATTTTAAGTTCCATTTCGCAGACATCAAACGTTGAAGGATTCCCCAATTGCCACAGTAACAATTATTTACGTATATACGCATGTGAATTATTTGAATATTGTTCCATAATCATCGTTGAAATTAGTTGTATTTCATTCTCAGGTCATTATCTATTTATTGAATCGTCGTCACCAAGAAAACCACTGGATAGAGCTGTACTGGCCTCACCTCTCTACCAAGCTAAATATAGTGACACGTGTTTTGAATTCTGGTATCACATGCAGGGACCTGATGAAGAAAACGGTATGTGTTACAATCTATTTCTCACCTTTGGGCTTCGAATGTAGTAAAATTACGTTAATCATTCAGTTGCAATATGTTGTTCCTTGGTCGGAACGGATCATTTAGATATACCGAATTACCATGAATTCTAAAACCGTGTATATCCACAATGCTGAAAATGTTGCAAACAATCAGGTGATATTTATCTTTTCCACGAAATGCGGATACAACTGCGGAAGGAACTCAAACCACTATTTGGCCGCTGGTTCGTAATGTAGGCCTATTCTTTTATTTTTAGCTGTGGGAAGTTTAGAAGTTTTTGTTAAACCAGAAAGTCTTACAATCAATGATATTGATCCTGAGTTTATTATGGAAGGTAATCAAGGTGCTGATTGGAAACGAGGAACTATTTATATAGAAGGTCAAACAGAGGTCTTCCAGGTAAATGTTTTTTTTTTTGTATGGGGCGATGGTACGTTCTCTTAAATATACCATTATTTTCTGTTTTGTGGTACTCGGTGTCACTGTATCAGATGGTTGTCAGCAAATTATTCTGGTTGGACTATCCTCGAAAAGTCGAGCTTTTAATACAATTACCATATTGGATCGAATTTGTCTTGAATGTGGTCAAGCGTAACGTTATCTCGGCTAGACAGGGATTTTTTTAACATAAAATTAGGTTTGGAATCATGATCATGTTCAATGATCCAGAATGGTTACTGGCTTCTTAACTGTGTACTGTGTCTAATCAAAGTATAACCTTTGGTAGGACTCTATCTTTAGAGTGTGGTTTTGAATAATTGTAAGTAGGTTTTCTCCTTACGATAATGCACTTCCTTATTTTCAATGTTTCTTTTCAGATAATAATTGTGGGTACACGAAAGGAAGCTTTTGTAAGTGATATAGCTATTGATGATGTTAGAATGTATAATTGTTCTGAGGGTAAGTTTCTTAAATTCTGATCTTATTGCCTTGAATAATGTATATTTTTTTAAGTACAGATCAAAAAGACAAAATGCCGTTATGTCATCTGAAAGTATTAACAACTTATTTTAAATGAGCAAAAAAGGTCTTTTATTTAAACATTGGTAGCCTACATCAACGTGATTTCAATTAACTACTTGACCAGTAACGGAACGTATAAGGAAAGTATTAGGTTTCGCTTACATATCCAACGTCTTTCAGTCAAAAGAAGGTATAACATCCGCATAGTGCACGTGTGACTGTTGCAAACATTATCGCATTGTATCCTTTTGCAGATTCATTAACTACTGCTGAAGCAGATGAAATGACTACGGAGTCAGAATCTAGTTCTCCAGATGTACAATCATCGATAATTACTCAGAAAATAACTTCAACGACAATTTCCAAACCAAGCGCAACAACAAAAGCAGTTAATGGTACAACCCGGAAACCTACCACAGCAGTAACAAAACAGTCAAACATCAAAACAACTAGTGTGCCAACC